GGGAAGTGATCATAGAAGTCATACGACGAGTGAGCATCTGCGAGAAGGGGCGCCGGGCGGGTCTTTAAGACGCTTGTGTGGGGGCTACCGCCTACTAATAGAATAACATCGAAAAAAATAGAAACAGGACGGACAGTGTTGCCAATCTATTAAATCGAAATTATGTTGGCTTATCCCAAATCCCAAATCTCCTAATCCCATTATCTTGCCTGCTTAATGAAATATTAAATAAAGTACGAAACAATTTTAAGAATGTTTTCTCTAGGCACATAACTTCTTTCTAAAACGAAATGTAACATGTAAAACTTTGAAATCATTTCTGAAATAGCAAGTGCAATTCTATAAAATGGCAATACTGTACGATCTTCCTAGCAGTCGCCCCGACACCGTCGGTCGGCGGCGGCGGTAACAAAGGAATTAAGCCGAAAAAACTTTATAAGAAGTAGCCGAACAGGATTGCCGGGTTTGTTAGATTATAATTCCATACGAGAACAAAATTCTCGGTAGATCTTCAACAAAAATCAAAAGTACAGAAACAAAATAAAATATAATATTTAAGTCCAAAATTAGCATTCCTATGTGTCGTAATAATAGATCACTCAAATAAAATACAAATATAATATAACAAGAATTAGAAATAGCTAGGTATAGTATTTGATATTAAAAAAAATATTGGATTAAATAATATTAATATCGAGATTAATATATTAATAAAACATATAAAACTGTAACAAGTAAAGTTAGCAGTCACGAATTAGTGTAGCAGTCACTTTTTACCTTTGTACAAATTTTTATCAGTGATATCTAAAATTAATTTCATTTCAATGGGAAAGCTGTAGCAACTCTCAACTCTTTTTTCATATTAATATTTTTTTTTGACAGGAAAATCACTAAAATATTTGTCAGAATTTAGGTTGTTTCTTAACTTAAATTTTGTTTTTTTTTGTTTACATTTTTTTGGGAAAAATATGGGTTCAACTTTAGTAGATGAATGAAACAAAATCTTTTCAAAAGATATCAACTTCTTCGGGTATGTCGCTAATACCGCGCCTAATAAGGAGTAATAAGGATTTTTAGGAATATCTTTGTAACTCTACAACTAGACAGAACGACGACCTGTATGTGTGTTATTACTAAATAAAATTTAATGAAACAATAATAAAGTCAGATTATACAGATTCCAACGCGGCAGTCGCTTAATTTTTAGTCAAATAAGTCAGCTTTTTAAAAGTGCTTCTATTGTAAAAACTAAGGACGCAGTTGAACATATCGTTAGATTTTTCTTTAAATGGGTAGATCGGTAGCTTACAGTTGAAACCGGTAGACCGCAATCTGTGATGAACTGACGGGAGACGGAATAGCGAATTGCGGAGGCGCGGGAAGGGAAATAAAATAATGGCGATAAATAAAGGGCAGGGGGATGGGCATCATGAGTGGATGGGATGTGGTGGAATTTCCAAAATTTGTTATCTTATTGGAGTTTGTCCAACTAGACAGTCGTAGTGGAAGTGGAAACGGGAAAGTTGTTATCCATCTCTGTTTAAGCATAGCACACATTGGTCAAATGTTGTCTTCTTTAGATAAATTGGCATTCTAGATTAAAGGTATATTTTAATGAAAAGAAACTATTATAAGAAACTCTAGTTTTGTATACCAAGCAACTGATAAGTAATCATATAAAATACGTGTACTGGATCTGTGTTTATGAAACAAATTCCGACAAAAAACATTTAAATGAACAGCAATATATATTTTATAAATAGCTACCTAAATGGAAGCGGGAGAGGATCCACGTGGACTTGACAAGTATATCACCGCAAAACACTCCGACCACTCATTTCATTGGCTACTTGCAAATTTCTCGAATTTTATTGATGGGACGCGTCGTCTAATTTTTTACAAGAAACATCGAGAGAATATCGTTTCACTCCTTATGGATACTCTGTAGCTACAGAATGGATAGACGTACTGTACTTTAATCCATAAGTGTCATAATCTTGAAATGTACGAATCATATTTTATAAGAAATTAAAAATTTAAAATTCCTGAAATAGCATCGAACACAGGTATAAAGTTATTCGCTATTCCGTAAATTTAAATACCGATATTTCAGTCTCTAAACTCTCCTCCGTATTCTTCTGCCGTAAATCCCCTTAAACTTAAGCTGGTACGGACATCAAAGAGACAGGCCCTCGCGATAAATTGACGACCTACATAAATATCCGGGAGGCAATTTAAGCTTAAAACCCGATTCTTAACAGCCGGCCATTAAATTTTATGGCTCGTCTCGATCTTCGGTTGTCGATAGTTCCATAAATCACCGCTGGATCGCTTAAATATTCAATATTAGCGTAGAATATAATAACTGTCAAGTCAAAATTGACAGGTCGAATGGAGGCTTAGATGCAGCTTTATTGAACAAAGGATGTCACTGTAAATACAGATTTTTTTTTGGAAAAATGTTCATATTTGTCCGTGGAAAATGAAACACTCTTTTAGTTGTTATTCTAGGTTTATAAATATATATTTATACACTCAAATGCAAAAAAACGCAAAAGAGAAATTTTTGGTCAAATTTAAAGTGTGATATTTTTGTTATTTTTAGCTCTTCATGAATTTTTTAGCAAGCTGTATCACCTTTTATTCGTAAACTCAGTTTTTTATAAATTTCAGTATTTGGCATATTATACAGGGTTAATCGAGAGGTTGTTTTTTTACCTTAAAGTTAAGGTTAAGTTAGTAAAGTTACCAAACCAAACACCCTGTGCAGTAATTTTGTATGTAAATTTTCTTAAAATATAATTTTAGCCACGACTCGTGAGCGTTTTGTTTTTTGATTCATGCCAATACATACTTTGGTTAATTTTTAAAAGCGAAATGAACTGATCACGATCAATTCGCATTTTTTTTCAAATATCATTACTTTTTGATGTAATTTTTTAATATGACGGGATGGTTTTAGTGACTATTGTCGTAACTAATGATATTAAGTAAAACATCTGTAATACTCAAGTATACAAATAGAAACAAAATGTAAAAAATACCCTAATACTTTGTATTGCCTCCCTTGGCTGCTATAACTGCCTTTATATGTCGTTTTATACTGTCATTGAGGCTGCATATATCATAATGTGCTATGTTTTCCCATTTTTCTTTAAGGACCAAGCGAAGTAGATTTAATGAAGCTGGTACCGGTTCGCGACCTCTAACCCTCCTCCCAAGCGTTCTCCAAACGTCGAACATGATGGGCAGTTCATAGTAGTATATAGTTCAAAATAATTACCGAAGCCGATAATTGAAAAAAAATCAATGTGTTGGTGGTAAGTTCATTTCGCTCTTAAAAATTAACCAAGATATGTATTGACATGATCCAGAAAACAAAATGCTCTGGAGACATTGTTCTGAGATTAAAGTTATATTTTAGAAAAATTTACACACGAAATTACTGCACAGGGTGTTTAAAAGTTAGGGTAAAAAACAGTAAGAACTCTGGTAGTAACTTTTTGTTGTTTGCTAACAGGTTACTATTGTATTAAATAATCTGTTAAAAAACGCCTTTTGCACGAATGCGGCACACGTTCAAGTACGTTTCCATTAAAATGGAAAAAATAATAAGAAAAAAGCTGAAAAAGCACGACAAGCGTTACTTCCGCCTAAAAGTGAATCCATTTACCAAAAGGAATATAAAAAATACCTTCAGTGCCTAGAAGACAAAAATATTGTAGCAGGAGATGTCGATGAAACTGTTCTCTTGTAAATTGAAAATCATCCAGATTATTAAAACAAAGTTATTCTTTTTTATTAATTTGCTTAACATGTATTTAAAATAGAGGTTGGTCCGAATTGTATTCCAGAAACTTCGGCAGCATATTCTGCAGATTAAAATAAGTAAGAAAGTTCGTATAAATGTATGTCTTAAAATGCTTAGTTTCGGAGATACAGGGTGTAGAAATTTAATTTTTATTTCGATTTTTTCCAAATAATGTAAGAAGTAATGTTAATATTTGGATGAAAATTGGTATCTGGGAGTTTTTGGACATGAAAAATTTGATTTTCATGTCAATATGACTCCTACTTGTAGAGGGCGCCACCTACATATGCTTTAACTGGTTCGAAGAGTAATAACTTTTCATCCATACCTGTATAAAACTACTGAGTAAAAAAATATATATTTACAACTTTTTTTACATAAAAAAGGTCTCTTGGTAAAAATCGCTATGAGTATTGGTTCTCGAGATATTTGAAATTGAAATTATCAATACCTGTCATCATTGACAAATTAAACATGTTGACCAAATAGTTATTAGACTGAAATCTTAAAATTGAAATCTTTTTGTGCCAAAAGCTCAACAGAAACTGTTTAATCTTCATTTTTTCGCAGAAAAATTTATGATTAATTTAAAAAAATAAAAATTTATTATTTTAGTCAAATAACTCTATTCAACGTGTGCTTATTTTTTGTCAATAATGACATGTATTGACTATTGCCATTTTAAATATCTTGAGAACGGTTGCTCGTAGCGATTTTTACCAAGAGACATTTTTTACGTAGAAAGTCATGGAAATGAATATTTTTTCAGTCAGTAGTTTTATACAGGTACCGTCGAAAAGTTATTGCTCTTCAAAACAGTTAAAACACATGTAGGTGGCGCCCTCTATAAACGAGAGTCATATTGACATCAAAATCAAATTTCTCATGTCAAAAAACTTCCACACACCAATTTTCATCCAAATATTGACGTTACTGCAGAAATTATCTGGAAAAAATAGAAATAAAAATGAAATTTCTACACCCTGTATTTCCGAAACTAAGCATATTAGGACATACATTTATACGAACTTTTTTACTTATTTTTATCTGGAGAATACGCTGGAGTTTCCGGAATATAGTTCGGACCACCCTGTATTTACGAGTTTAAGGATAATTTGTGTAATCCTCTATTTTAAATTTTGACTATGTTAATTTTACCAAAACAACAACAAAATAAAAAAAGACCTACTAATGCCCATGATGACAGTGCTGATCCAGACAGCAATAGGGCCCTATGGAACAACCCAGGCATCACTGTAGGTGATATCATGAGGAAATTGATGCATGCTGCTCCAGAACCATGACCTGCCAAGGTGACGTTGTTTGGATCACCACCAAACAGAGCTATATTCTGTTGAATCCAGTGTAGGGCAGCAATTTGGTCCATGAGACCATAGTTGGCCACTCGAGCCTTGAGATGAGGGGCAGGATTTGCGTTTAAAAAACCTGGAATAGTTGTTAATGAAGATTATTTAAAAAAATGTAAAATAAACCTTAATATTTTTATTTATTTTAGATTTCAAGATATTTTATTATAGTGGGTCAATTTTGGTGATTTTTTTAAACAATTTGTAGCTAAACCACACCCAACGACACGAAAAATGGGCTTAAAATTTTAATGTATCTTAAAGTTTAATATGTTTCGTTCTAGTGGGCCGATTTTGACGTTTTTTAAGCAGTTTGTAGCTAAATAATTTGACTTTTTTATGTCTATTTCTAAATTAACAATGGAAGTTTCCATGTGTCAATTATACAAGGTAAAACAAAATGTTGATATTTTGGTGAAACTTTGAGAGACCCTGTGGAATATATTAACAAAGCAAGTAATAAAAAGCGATTTTTCAATAAAATTGTAATCAAGATGGCTGGTGTCGCCATGGCAATTTTCTAGTGATAGTTAGTAGCTATTTTCAAAATCGACATTCGTTTATGGACTTTATTTATTTAAATTTATAACAAGAGAATTTTCTTGACAACCGTTCCTTTGAAAAACTACATTTCGCAGAGCTGTTAGTGTGGTATATGGAAAACCTATTAAGCAGAAACATGTCGTTGAAGAAAATGAATTTACCATAATTGTTTTTTTTTTTTGAAAATTCAATATATCTACGTAATGTAAAGTCAGAGAACTATTTCTTTATTTTTCACGATAAAATAATAAATACTTACTTATTAAACTATTGTAGGTAAATTAAATAAAAGTGAACTATTATAAATTTAAATGAAGTCCATAAACTAATGCAGGTTTTGAGAATGGCTATTAACTGCCACTAGCAAATTGACATGGCGACACCAGCCATCTTGATTTGCATTTTATTGGAAAATGGCATTATATTCAAAATCTGAGCCAGATAGGTATAGGAAACGTAGTTTGAAATAGCATTTAAATCTGCTTCGAATTATTTAAAAAAATACATAGTGTTGTATTTAAAATAATCAAGTTTTTATGTAAAATAAATATTTAAAACAGACTAGCAATTTTTGATACCCCTGTATACATTTAAGGAAGCAATAACATTTTTTAGTAAAGTTCATTCCTCTGGCTTCAAAGTCAGCACAAGAATTAACTCTGAATAGTAATGTACAGGGTGTTGACAAACTTTTTTATCATAGCATGCATATTTAAATATCTCAAAATCCAAAGCATTTAAACATATTAAACCCTTATAATAAATGCTTTATTTTATGCCCAAGAATTCAAAAATGAAATAAAATACCGGGTGTTCCATAAGAAAAAATATAACTTTGATATGATTCTTAGTTCTGACATATTCTGTACATTTGAAAATAATTTTAAATTATGCACATTGCCTCTCTACATATACCCATAAAGAAAATTGTTTCTACATCTTTCCTTTTTCGTATAATTAACCGAGGCGAATGAGGTGCGCCACCGAGGTGTATGATTTTAATGACAGTGACATTACAAAAATAATACACACTATTTCAGTTGACTACGATAATAATGACATATTTTTAATGCTAGTTGTATGTCGTCACATCGTTTTCCAAAAGTGAATATCTCTAAAAAGAAAGAAGCTATTAATATGAAGCAAAAATAAACTATCAATAAAATATAAACCTTTATGATATAGTGTTTTTTTTAAAGCTTTACTTATTTTTAACCATTCTACAAACTTATGCCAAAAGTGCAACATTTTGGTTTCTCTTGTGTACATTAATTTTCAAGGGTCTAAAATTTCAAATTATTTAGCTACAAATGCTTTAAAAATACTAAAACCAGTTTACGAGAACAACATATATGAACTTTAAGGTATAAGAAAATGTTATTGTCCGTTTTAGGTATTTCTCAGATAAGTTTTATGTGTTTGAAATTATAGCAAAGTTTCTTTTGTAGTTTCCCGCTAGAGCCCTAATATCAAACCACATAATCCTCTCTGACTGATTGACGTGATTTACATGTTTGTACACATTAGTTTCTAGCTTGATTGGTTCCGTTGGCATTTCGATAGCCGCTCCCCGTTATTAGACATTCCCCGTCAAAACTTCTAACTGACGAGAAATGGCAACGGACCGAAACACTGGCAGATAGAAAGGAGATGGAGCATCATCGACTTACCTAATATTCCTAATCTATAGTTTAACGTAATTACGACTAGATCGGCGTAGGAGGCCAGAACGCTCCCATCGTAGGGATTCCCAGAATTCCATTCGAACGACTCGCCGTGGATGTAGACTATCACAGGATGGCGGGCTTCACCTGAAACTGAAGAGAATTCGAATGAGATGGTGTGTCAGTTAAGAAAAACAATTGGATATATATTTTATAGTCCTATATCTTCTTTTTAAATTTGAATATAATTTTGTTGATTTTTTGTTTATACAAATTGTTGTAGGATCTACAACATACTATTATTAGAAACTATTATACTATCTATTATACCAGCAAAAATGTAGATACTGTACTGTAAGTACTACAAGCACAAATTAACGAGCTAAATACAACCAACAATAAAGTATAGTCTGTCCAACCACACTTGACAGTGATATATGTATCTGTCATTTTTTCAAAGTAGTTTACTTTATTTTACAAAGAAATACGTTGGTACAACTGGAACGCAGAGCGGGAAATTAATATATTTAAAATTTGACTGATAAGTAATTACTTCAAAATATTGTGAAAACAAATGTATAATACTAAAAAATATAATCGAGATATTTTATTAAAAAAAAGGTATGTGTTAATATAAAACAAACCAGAACAAAACACCACATACCAAAAAATATAAAAAAGAACTATTTCTTACATTCAAGCTTCAAGAAACTTCCCGCATTTATTATTACATTTATCAATATAACTTTTGTACAAATACAAATTTGTAATAGGTATTCCACCGGAATAAATAAAACAACATGAATAAAGCAAACTATTTTATTAATAATAACACTTATCAAGTTTGTATACCTTAAAGGTTGATTAATTAAGTTTAATCTTAATTTTTTGAAACTGCAGTACCTTTTAACATTATTTTTCTGTAGTACTAAAATCCATTATTTACCTATCGTGTGATGTCGATATTTCACAGCTGCTCCAGTAGTATGTTTAGTACTATCCGTGTAGTGTGTAGTATATACGAGATGCACTTATCTACGACGAGATGGCATACAAACTTTATTGATGGTAAATTTATTGGTGAATAAGACTTTCTGCCTGGGCAACGAGTATTAATTAGAAACTGTGATCTGGGTCTACAGTTAATTTTCCTTCCACTTGACTTCAAAAGACACAAAACACACGTAATAACACGAATCAAAATGCATCATCTTCCAAAACGCAGATATTTGACATAAGTTGACACAAAATTATAACCTATATTTTGGCAAGGCTTTGCAAGCCTCAAAAATCTAAAGGTTCATACGCCTCGACGTCCGTTTGTCGTTCATCGTTCCGTCAAACCAATAAAATTGAAATATGATCTGTCATTTTTGAAATAAACCAATAAAACTGGTTAAAAACAACAAGCGAGGACGTATGACGGATTTATATTTAAACCCATCCATGGTTAACTTAAAAAATATTAGAAACTTTTTTTAGTAAAATAAATAGAATGGTATGGGACGTCATCTGCTTTTCTTCTGTCATCGTCTGTCGAAATCTTACTTGAGAAAAAAAAAACAGAGTATAGGTCTCAAAATGAATTTAACAAAAACTAATATAAAACGAACTAGTAGCCAGAAAATACATTCTAATAAATATCACAACAGTTGAAGTGTCAATAAAAAAGCTAAATATGAGATAAACATCAGAGTCGTTGATATTTATGGGAACGGTCGATTATTAGGTAATATATACAAGGTACCTCAAAAAGTTAAATAAAAAAGTTATACGGTTTTTAAATGTCTATTAGCTGGTAGTAAATGTAAGTATACAGGGTCAGTCATAAAGTAGTGACACATCATTTTTTTTAACTTCAACCCCCTGTATATTATTACATTTTTCAATTTTTCCTTCAATTTTAAGCAATAATCGTCATACACATAATGTAACTAAATTCAACCAATTCCGAATTATGAAGTTTTGATTTTGGAATATTAAACGAAAATTTTGTAATTTCCTGATTTGATTTAATCTTATTTTAGACATCTATGAATGCTAACTTGAGAACTAATGTCAAATATTATAAAATATTACAGTTTCCGCGAAATTTCATAGTTAAATCAAACCTAACGCATCGAAATTAGTTAAATTGAATTGCTTAAGTGGCATATTCAAAAGTCAGTAACTCGGAAACGGTTGGTTTGAGGTACATTATGTGTGTATTACGATTTTTGCTTAGAATTGAAAGAAGAATTGAAATATGGAATAATAATACCAGGGGGTTCTTTTAAAATAAAATGAAACTCTGATGTGCCACGACTTTATGACCGATCCTGTACACTTAATATATTACTCGCCAATATACAGGGTGGTCCGAACTGTATTCCGGAAACTTCGGCAGCATATTCTGCGCATAAAAATAAGCAGAAAAAGTTCGTATAAATGTATGTCTGAAAATACTTAGTTTCGGAGATACAGGGTGTAGAAGATTCATTTTTATTTCGATTTTTGCTAGATAATTTCTGAAGAAACGTCAATATCAGGATGAAAATTGGTGTCTGGGAGTTTTGTGGCACGAGAAATTTGATTTTGATGTCGAAATGACCTATTTGTAGAGGGCGCCACCTACATGCGTTTTGACTGTTTTGAAGAGTAATAACTTTTCGACGGTACCTGTATAAAACTACTGACTAAAAATATATAAATTTCCATGACTTTTTACGTAAAAAATGTCTCTTGGTAAAAATCGCTACGAGCAACCGTTCTCAAGGCATTTAAATTGGAAATAGTCAATACATGTCATTATTGACAAAAAATAAGCACACCTTTTGAATAGATTTATTTGACTGAAATAATAAATTTTTATTTTTTTAAATTAATCTTAAATTTTTCTGCGAAAAAATGATGATTAAACAGTTTCTGTTGAACATTTGGCACAAAAAGATTTCAAATTTAAGATTTCAGTCTAATAACTATTTGGTCAACATTGTCAACATGTTTAATTTGTCAATCATGACAGGTATTGATAATTTCAATTTCAAATATCTCGAGAACCATTACTCGTAGCGATTTTTACCAAGAGACGTTTTTTATGTTGAAACAGTTGTAAATGTGTATTTTTTTGTACTCAGTAGTTTTATACAGATATGGATGAAAAGTTATTACTCTTCAAACCAGTTAAAGCATATGTAGGTGGCGCCCTCTACAAGTAGGAGCCATATTGACATGAAAATCAAATTTCTCATTGCCAAAAACTCCCAGACACCAATTTTCATTCAAATATTGGCGTTACTTCTTAAATTATTTGGAAAAAATGTGGAAATAAAAATGAAATTTTTACACTCTCTATCTCCGAACTAAGCATTTTAGGACATACATTTATACGAAATATTTTACTTACTTTAATCTGCAGAATATGCTGCCTGGAATACAGTTCGGACCACCCTGTATATTTAAAAACCCTGTAACTTTCATATTTAACTTTTTACGATACCTCGTATATTTTACCTAATAATCAACCATTCCCATACATATCAGCGACCAGAAATCAACCAAAGAATTAAATTAGAATGGAGGTCATATGGAAAAAACTCAATCATATTTAAATGAACAATGCCATTTTACCTAAAGAAGAAAATATTCGACCAATGTGTACCACCAGTCATAACCTATAGGTACGTGCGTAACCTGCTCACTTAAACCAGACATTATAAAGACAAACTAAAGGCACAAAAATAACATCAAAACCTAATGATAATTGAAAAAATTGCAAATTCTTGGTGGCAAGTTCATTTCGCTCTTAAAAATTAACCAAGGCATGTGTTGACATGAGACAAAAAACAAAATTCTATATGGTTCTGACAGAAAAATAACGTTTTAGAAAAAAAATTCTTACAAAATTATTGCTCAGAATTATTTATTGTTAAGCTCCATTCAGAACTTTGCAATTAGTGGAATAAATTAGAGGTTTCAATTATTACACTTTATACATTTTAGTTTACGATCATTCACAAAGTCTAAAAAACACAATAAAATTAATAGAATATCCTAGCAACAGCTTGCGGTAATCGGTTGTATCCATAAGAAAGCCTAATATTTAATTTATAAAACAATAAACTTTTGATTTCTAACCACATTTTTCTCTTGGCAGATGATAATCAAAGGCCAAAATGACATTCCTCGCAAATTTTGAAGTATAATTAGTGGAAAAGTTAAAAGTTGTAAGTAACATTCCTACCACTAATTTTGATGTTCTGAGATGCTTACATTCAAATTAGAGAACAAACTTCTACGCTAATTGAAACCACTAATTGCGTGGTTCTGAATGAAGCTTTAGGGCGAAAACAACCATTCTATAAACCCTGTATAATAAATCCCAACACTAAAATTTATACAAAACTGAGTTTAGGAACTAAATTTGATATAACTATATTTCTACAATTTGCCGAAAAAATAATGAAAATAGGGCTAAAAATAAAAATGAACATATTATACAACACACACACGTTTTTTTTACATCTAAGTGAATATTTATTACAGACTATAAAGTACAAAAATCATTAAAACAAAATGTTTCATTTATTTTCATTTATCCGTCCCGACCGTACTCTTATCTGAAAACCATTAAAACTAAACGAAATACAATTTAAAATGCCACGGTATGCGATCGATTTGGCCTCGAACTAGACGCGAACGAACCGACAAGACGAATTAAAATCGATACAGAAAAGTAGAATTAAAGCTCCTTAAAACGGAGATATCGCCGACAATATTCGATAAGATATGCCACCGCTTAAATTGTCTTTGGTTTTCTGTTTGTTTTTTAAGAGTCTGAAATCGTATTACTAGAAACCCAAATAAAGGAAAAAGTCCCAGATGACGATCGTTATAGTTTGGTTGTTTAACAAAAATATTTAGAGAAAACAATATTTTTATTTAAATTGAAACAGTGTATAGTAAATATAAAAAGTGTAGTAGTATTAATATGGATTTTGGACAACTAATAATCTCAAAAGATGTATATGTTACGCACAATACTCGAGTTCGGGTAATGCCCGAAAAAAATGCACAGAACTAGTTTTGAGCAAAAAATATTTCCCAAACCCGAAATTGCACATTTAAACAGGTATTGCGCATTACAAAATAGTCAAAACTAGTATTGTGCATTT